GTAAAATTATTCACAGTTTTAAACAAATTAAATATGTTTTCGCTCCTCGTGATCCATTTTCCCCTTGGCTGCCCTAGTTCGGGAATTCGTCCTCCTGCCCAATGTTCAAGCTCCGACTCAGACCCCACGAATTCGTCGAATTCCGAATCTCGACTTGACTTCGCCCATGCTTACAGTTCACCAAGGAGGTTAATACAATCCAGTAATGGAGGCTGCTCTGTGGGCGGCAACGCACGCATGACAGGAGCCCTCTCTCGCAGCGGAACCATTGTTGTCAACCTGCGCTGCGCGCTGCTTGACTCGTGCATTGAAATCTAGATAGGAAAGAGGGTTTTATTCTTAGGTCTTTGAGATTAGAAAAGTCATTAGACTTATTTTATGTTTTGAAACCCATTTGGCACTTTTTTGGTAGTCTAGTTCCCACCCCGCAATTGTTATTCGCCGGTTTTGGCCCCAAGAGAAGGAAGGTCTCCGGGGGTGGGGGGGTGGTGGCTTGCCCCCCTGATCTAATAAAATTATCGTGTAGGGTTTCAGGGGGGCATGCCCGCCTGAGTTTTACCTTAATTTGATGTTTTGCAGTTGTTATCTTTGATATCTTAGATCTAGCTCGCCACGGATCAACGTGTAGATCTAGGATGTAGATCTAGGCTCAAATAAGGGGGATGGGACCGGTGCGAAATACCTCTTATAGTTATAGCAGGATTCTCGCTATAATGGATCCAGTAATAAATTCTAGGGAAATGGTAAAGTATGCCTAATCTATGAATTTAGAGTTCTGTTTATTCCTTTTTGTACTTCCCCTAAAGGTGATTTTGTTCCACATGATCTCTAAGTCTTAGCCTACTTGATCAAAAATCGACTCAGGTTTCTTTCTCTAGCACTAGCAATGTTGACAGCTCGGCGTTGGCAATCAGAAAGAAGGGGCTCTGGCTCCAGGCTAACTCGCCCGCAGTGTTGCCCCCCACTCCACCGCACCAGAGAGTATTTAATTATACTCTGACCGCACCCTGTGGTGCGTTGCGTCTTCTTGCACACGTCACACATTCACTCCATCTATCACAACATTGTGACCTCTCCATCCCGCACCAGAGAAGTGAGAGGGACAGTAGGCCTAGATTATCTAGACTGGGCTGGCCTATCAGTATCACGAGATGCATTCTGCGTGTCTGCACGCGCCACACCCTCCCCACTCATTCGCTCAATTCTTTGTTGGTTCGCGAGGACACTCCCATTCTTTGTGTCCCTGGATCGCAAGCAACTTTCTCAACTGGCGGTGTTTAATAGGTTTGTGCGCTGTGCACAGCAGCAGATAACCGACTGGCGTGTTTGTCTGATTGCGCAATAGCAGTATTTTATTTACAAAGATAAAGAAGGGGAAAAAACGGGGTTTTAAAATAGTGTCTTTATAACAGACTTCTCGTTGTTTCAGGACTCGTTATAAGTGGACTCCACTGTACTAGATCTAGATCTTGATTTAGATTCTAGATCTATTACTGATGTCAAATATAGATCTATCTAGGTCTAGGTGTCCAAGGGGCTCCATATTTTAAAAAAAACTAAAGTACCTGCTTAGTTAACAACAACGACGAATAATAAAACTTCCCTGTTAAAGAAAGATAAAGGACGCATAATTATTGGGTGGAAAAAGTTTGAGTCTCCAATAGAGTACTATCGGCCTACCCGGTTTAATCTATCATCATAGTCTCCACCTGAGACCCCATCGTTTGTGATCCCGGTTCACTTAAGATTCTGTTGTTTAAAGAAAATAAAAAAAGAAACAACCCCACAAAAACAAAATGTTATTGTAGAAAAGTCACCCCTAAGATCCCATTCTGGAATTTGAAGTTCCCGCATTTTAGATCATGTTTTACTGAAAAAAAAACATACATTCATGGATCATCCACGCTCATACACGAGTACATACGATCACATCTCCGCTCTAATTTCCTCGACGAGTGGTACAATGTTCGCTTCAGGCGCAGGGGCCACATAATAAAAGGATCACACTCAGGTGTGAACTTTTCGACGACTTTGATTTCTCCGAACATCGAACTACAGCTAGGTGTGATTCGGTAGGCAGGGCCAGCGCTGCATCAGACTGTCCGATCGCCTTTGTGTAATGTTGAGCCAGCCTTTCATTCTTTGATTTTTAATTGGTGTGTTTACAAAACAATGATTAGTTACGACCTGAATATATGAGCGGTGATTTCGGTCAGAGATGAAGGAAAGCAATATGTAAATACTTCACAGGTAAAAAGGAGGAGCAATGAGTGAGATAAGGCTTTATTATTAAATCAATAGGCTAAGGATTCCAATGACACAAGTTAACAAAAATTACATGTATTAAGGTATTCGCGCATCAAAACAGTTTGTAAATTTTAAAACCCATTTTAAAAGACAAAGGATATTGTAATTATTATCATCTTTACAATAGTTAAAACCGTTTGGGGAAGGGG